AAAAAAAAAAAAAAAAAAAAAAAAAAAAGGGCAAGAGGAACAGCTATGAAGTCTTTTTAGAACTTTGTGGGTATTTCTGCTTTCCCCTTAGTCTGTCTACCTAGATTGGGATTTGCATTTTATAAAATTAGCTGGAGAGACTTTAGCTCTCTGCAGATAGCCCCCCCTCAATGGGCTGAAAGATATTTGGTTGAGGATGACTTTCTGGAGATGCCTGGGAAGAATCGGTGGTGGAGAGGCCCAGGACGCAGCACCTTCGGGGAGCCACCTTCTGCTGAGCTGCCTGGGCAGCTGCCCCAGGGCATGAGGGGAAAGAGAGAGAGAGGCAGGAAGTGTCAGAGTGGGAGGGAACCAGCAGGTGCTTTGCAGAGCTCTTAGAGAGTGATTCAAGACCCTCAGGGCAACCACACTTGTGCACTGGCTCAACAGTCATCCATCCACTGCTTATGTCCTTCAATCAGCCAAACGTTCACTTCTAAAGCACCCACTACGGACCAGCCCCAATGCCAGGGCTGTGGGTAAGAATGAAGAAGATACTCCCCGGCCTTCTGAGTGTCAGGCAGGAGGCTAGTGGGGAGACAGATTTTCACTGAATCGACATTTCTTGCAAACCTACCACGTGCCAAGCACTGTGCTAGCTGTATGGACACAGGAGTGAAAAACAGATAAGGTGCCCGCCCTCCCGACATTCCCAAATGTCCAGCAGATGGCTAACAATAGGAGGTTAACAGTCCTGGCTCAAATCTGGAGACAGACATGGGTTCAAATCCTGCCTCTGCCACCTTTCAGCTGTGTGACTTTGGACAGCACCTTTTTTTCCTGAGCCAAAGCTTCCTCATCTGAAAAATGGGGATTGTGAATGGTCCTGCCTCACCAGAGTAAATGATTAAGAGAGAGACTGTGTGTGAAGTGCTGAGCTCAGTGCCTGGCAGCTGACTGCTACAGCATTACTTCCAGGCTCTCCGGGAAATATGGGCAACAGCCTCAAGCTCTGACTCCACGAGGAAAGGAGAAAGAAATGGAAGGAGAGAGAGGATTTATGTTGGCCTTGGTGCAGGAACAGAGCAGACAAGCAAAGGAGCGGGACGAAAAGGAGAGAGAGAAGCAAGAAGGGAAGTAGGTGGTGATAAAAACAGAATACAAGGCAGACACAAAAGATCACATAGTGTATGATTCCACTTTTATGAAATGTTCACGCAGGCACAGCAACAGAGACAGAAAGCAGATTAGTGGCTGCCTAGGGCTGGGGGCGGGGGGGCCGAGAACAGTTGAGGGGAAACAGGGAGTGGCGGCTAATGCATGCAGCCTTTCTGTTTTGGGTGTTGAGAACGTTCTAACACTGAACGTGGTTGCACAATTCTGTGAATATACTAAAAAACACTGGATTGTATACTTTAAGTCAGTGATGTGTATGGTGTGAATTATGTATCAGTAAAGCTGCCACAAAGAAAGGAGAGAAGGGAGGAAGGGAGAGAGGGAGGGAGAGAGGGAGGAAGAGAGGGAAGAGGGGAGGAAGGAAAAGAAGAAGGGAGGGAGGGAGGGAGGGTGAGGAGAGAAATGAGAGAAGCAGGAGGTGGTGCCGTGGTTCAGGAATCACAAGTAGGCAAAGGGACACCAGGTCCACTCACCTCGACCTTCAGACCCGCCTGGAAGCTGATGCCATCAGGGATGGTTGTCTGGAACTCAGCAATAGTGTAGTACTCTTCCTCCACTTGGGGTGGAACGGGAGGCTTGGGCAGGTTAAGACCTCGAGGCTGGCACAATTAAACACAATGCTAAATCCAGGGTAAGTCCATTGCCATTGGCTGAAGGGGGGAGGCGCTAAGGGTCAGGGGCACACAATCACCCTCGAGGGGAGCTGGTGGACCCATTTGGATTCTAAGGGACAAAACACAGAGGACCATCTGTGCAGATCATCTCCTAGATGGTTCACTGGACCATCAGCTTCAGAGTGAGGAGGAGAAACATGGGACATTTACCTACAATCATGAAAATCTGGGGCAGGACAACAGTCTGAATTCAAGAGGCAGTGAGGGTTGTGGAAAGGACACGGGCTTGCAGGTCAGACCCATCTGGGTTGGAAATACTGCTTATGCGTGCTGTGCACCTTTGGACAAATCACTTCCCCTTCTGGAGCCTCAGTTTCATCTCCTGTAGAATGGGTATCTACCTGGTGGGATCACTGTAAGCATTCAATAGGTCCACGTAATGAAGCACCCAGCACACTGCAGGGTGCCCAACTGGTGCTCAATAAATGGTAGAAGGCTCAACTTTCAAAGTATTGGTTAGAAAAGGTACCTAAAGAATTAAAAACAGAGTCTGAAAGTAAAATACCAGAACGGCACCACAAATACTTATGCCTCATCCCAGCTTTGGTTTCGAGTTACCTTCTCTGAGAAGACTGACCTACAATAAAGCAAAGTGGGCTCAGGAAGCAGAGGGCACATCCTGAGACCTAACCGTGGCAGAGCCATAGGTAACTTGCATCACTCCCAGGGGACCCTAGCCTTTCCCCCTTTGACCAGACCAACACTTGTCTGGTCTGCGACACTTGTCCAGGCAGCTGTGTGGAGAGGCAAGAGAACATCTCTGGAAAGGGCAAGGTGGGAGTGAGGGGCCAGATTCGGATCAGGGCCTGGCTTCCCGGCAGCAAGGGTCCACTTACTATGGTCATATCTCGGCGAGGAGGGGGTCTCTGCCTCATCTTGGGCGATCCTACAAAGAGACGAGAGCTTACTGCACACACATGCAGAATTCTGCAGATGGAATTCTTCAGGGGGACACCAGGCAGGCATTCGTGAGCTGCTGTGACCCTTCTTGTGGGAAGAAACAGCCTGACTGGGAAGGAGCCGCTCAGACTTGGCTTGGGACTATGAGGACTGCCCGTGTGCCGGAGCGGCGTGCGGCTCTCCAGACAGGCCCCACGATGTAGGCTTCGGTGGAACACAGGCGTGGTAATGCCTGCCTGCCACCCAGGGGCAGTGGCAGAGATGAAAGGAAAGGGTGCAAACGAGGCCGGAGGCACCTGGTGGGCGTGCAATGTTAAACCACACGTAAACAGAACAAACAAATGTGGGCTGACGACATCAGGGGTTTCTACTCTGGAACTGGGCTGCCCTTGCTCTGAGTCTCAGGCTCAGGAGGATGACTGCGTAATGGTCCAGGCTCCTGGCTCAAGGCGGAACATGTGTCGTCCCCTGAGCTGGCTCAGCACAGGTCCACACGGAGGGCAAGTCTGGCAGCTGGGATGTGCTAATCTCTTAAATCCCCATCTCCCCTGTCTTCTGTTACAATTAGTTAGCGATGGAGTTTTAGCCTGCCTATGTAAAGACTGCACTTCCCAGACTCCCTTGCAGCTAGGTATTGCCATGTGACTAAGTTCTGGCCAGGGGGACGTGACAGAGTGGAGAGCACGTAGCTTCTGAGTCAAGTCCTCCACTCCTCCCTGCCTTCTTCACTGGCTGGACTAGTGGGGCACCACCCTGGACCAGCAAGATGAGGGCAACACAAGATAGCATCTAATAAGACCTTTGACTGCACAGAGCTGCCCCAGCAGCCCTGGAGGCAGAGCCGGACAGCTTTGTGAGAAAGAAATGAACATCTAAATGATCTGAGGCCCTGTTACTGGGCGGCGGGGGGGGGGGGGGGGGGGGGGGGGGGGTGTGAGGCAGGGGTAGGGAGAGTTTGCTTGAGCATCGGAACCCATCTCCTAACAAAGACATGGGGGTTCAGATTCTTATTTGCTCAGCGTTAATGGGAATCCTGTGCTCTTGGCCATGATAGATTAGAATCACAGAAGCCAGGGGCTGGCCAGAACCCCCGCCATGGCATGCCAGTGTTTTTTTTTTTTTTTTTCCTGAGACATCAGCTGAGCAGAGAATGGAGAAATTCTTGAGTTTCAAGAATTCACTGACTTTTACGAGTTTGCTGAGCTGCTGTAAACAGTTGGAGAAGTCTAGCTGGGCCAGGGGACTTTCCCAGCAGACGGCTTCCTCCTGCCCTGCACAACTGGGGCAGGGTCACGTGCCTGGGGGTTGGGTCCCATGCTCGCTGCAGACAACAATAAGGAACCCATACTCTCAGGTGTGTTGGGAACATTCAATGGAAGCATATATACAGAAGGCTTTGGAAAGTAAGATGCATAAAGAACTGTTGTTCGAGTCAACTCAACGCAAGGTCAACAACTTCTGGCTCAGAAACGAGGCCCTAAAGAGAGGGCACAGGTGTTGGGGTCAGGTGGGCCTGGGTTCAAGTCCCAGCCCTACTGTTTACTAGCTGGGTGGCCCTGGACAAATCACCTCATCTCTCTGGTTCCTAATCTGTAAAACAAAAGTAATTTAGTCCCTCTGAGGTCGTTACAAGGAGCCAATGAGACTAATTGTAAGATTCCTGGTACATAGTAGGGCTTGAGAGATAGAAGCTATCACGATCAGCGCAAGATCGTGGAAAAACCATGGTCTGGAACAAGCTCCCCAGGGTTTCTGGGCCTGTTTTCCTGTCTACAGGATGTTGGGCAGCAGGGCTGTTGTGAGGATGAGGGACACGTGAGGAGCTCTGAGCACGGAGCCTGGCACATAGTAGGTCCTCAGCCCCCGGAGCTCGGTGGGGCGTCACTCACTCTGCTTGATGTCGCTGTCGGGCCCTGGGCGGCCTTCAAACCGGCCGTCCCTCTGGTTGTTGAGCAGCTCTCTCTCCCTGCCCACCGTGCTCTGCTGCCGGGAAACTCCGTCCAGGTCGAGAACGCCGGTGTGGGCGGACGAGCCGGGGCCCAGCTTCGGGGGTGAGGGCTCCCCACTGCTCTTCTTTAGGTAGGAGGCTGGGGCCCAGCCCTCTTTGCCCTGGTACCTGGGAAGAGGAGGGATGCTGGACAGGCTGCTCTGCCAGACGCACAGAAAGAAGCCGTGTTCCTACCACGCACAGCACTTCAAGTCCCAGACGGCAGGAACGATGGGCCAGAGGCCCTTGCTGACCTCAGCTCGGCATTCAAGGCCTTTCCAACCCGCCCTCTGCCTGCCTCCCCAGCCTCATCTCTTAACAGCAACCCCCATGCCCCTCCTACTGCACAAGACTTGCAGTCTCCCAAACGCACCACCATCGTTCACTCCGGCGGCCTCTGTTCTTGGAAACTCTGTGTCGGGAAAGCCCCTTCCCACTGTCCTTCCTGTTCTTTCTTCCCCAGCTCTGCTTACTGGTCATTTCCTTTCTCAAGCCTTTCCTGAGCCTCACAGAGAATGAACCCCTTCCTCCACGGTGACCCAGTGTCTCCCGCACACAACACCACCCTAGCACCTGGGACACACAGTGCACTCAGCTGTGGCGGTTCTGTCTCCCCAGCTAGAACATGAGCTCCTGGGGTACGCTGCACCTGACTGATCTCTGTGTGGCAAGAGCCTTGGTGCCAGGGAGTTGAATAAAGAAATAAAAGGACAAGTGGACAAACTGCCCATGGGCCTGGCAAAGGCGAGCAGCCATAAAGCTCTGCTACACTCACTGTCCCGTTACAGTCATCGTAGAGATGACAACAGTGATAACTGCCACTTAGTGGGCACCTACTATATGCCAGTCTGTTCTACCCACTTTCCCGCTGTTGACATACTTCACGCATCCAACCCTGGGAGGCGGCAGAAACGGACTGAGACCTAGGCAGTTGGCACCAGTCTAGTCTCTGCTCCTAACCTGTTTTGCTGCGTCTTCCCAGCAGCCCCAGCTTCTGGCACAAAGCCTGGCACAGCCAGGGCATGGCTCCAGTCACACTGGTTAACATGTAGATTAAACATGCATTCAGGGGGCGCCTGGGTGGCTCAGTCGGTTAATTGGCAGACTCCTGGTTTTGGCTCAGGTCACAGTCTCAAGTTTTCGTGAGTTTGAGCCCCACGCTGGGCTCTGTGCTGGCAGCATGGAGCCTGAGAGTCTCTCTCTCTCTCTCTCTCTCTCTCTCTCTGCCCTTCCCCCACTCATACTATATCTTTAAAATAAATAAACTTCAAAAATAAAAAATAAAAAAACAACCACCATGCATTCAGCTGGTCAGGAGCTGGTTCCACGACTTGCTAAGAGTCAGCTGTGGTCACTGAACTGCAGAGTGACCGAGACCCTGATGGACAGCTCACTGAATTCCAAAGGATTCAATGAATGCGATCGCTTAATTCTCTGCACAACAGAGCTCAGTTTCATAGCATGAGCTGAGGGGTCAAATTGGACCAGAGGGGTGCTGGAGCCTGCTTGCACCAACTGGTGAGCGTCAACTGCGTTAGTCTCTTCCAAACTCCACATTTAGTGACGTTGCACGGGAGGCTTGGAATCACCCGGTGGGACTATGTACACTTTGGAAAACACCACAACTCAAGGGTAGTTTTCCCTTGAGAACCAGATGTCAACTATTTGCAAGCACCCCGCTGGTCTGGCCCACATAATGCATGCCCACACCTCTGGGGGAGAGTGGAAGAGACCTGAATGGCTGGAGATGATATATGGCAAGGCCAAATCTCTCATCAAGAATCACTTCAAGAACTAAACAGCACTGTGTTTCAGTGACGACAAAGGTCCTTTCTAACTGGAAGCCAATTTACAGGAGACAGAAATCTGCAGGATTTGATGCCTTTCAATCTTAAAATATCTTCTGAGAGGGAGCCAATCTTGTCCTAACTGGAAAATGTCATGCTACCTAGAATCCAGGCCCTCGGCATGAGACAATTCACTGTCTGGGGTCACAAAGCCACAAGCAGAGCAGCACACGTAGAGGTGAGTGGCTCTGGGGTGAGAAAGGTACAGGTTTAAATCCTGGTTTGTCACTTTCCAGCCTCAGCTGAACCTTCAGATGATGGCATGTGTCGCTGACATCCTACCGCAACCTCAGGAGGGACCCAAGTAAGTCACTCCTTGAATTCCAGAGCCACTAAGTTTTGGGACAATTTGTAATGTAGCTGACACCATATGCACTCAGGATATGTTAGGTGTCACTGTCACTACTCCTGCTTCAAACCTCAGTTCTGTAGACCCTTCCCAGGAAGCCATCCTGCCCCCCCTGAGCTCAGGAGCTCCTCTTCTGTGCTCCAGAGTCCCCATGCATCACCACCCTGCCGGGGGACTGAGCCTGCCTGCTGTGCCTGCTGGTGTGAACCTCCGTGTCTTTCTCACTGTTGACTCCCCAACTCCCAGAACAGGGCTTGGCCCAGTACAGATTCTTGGTGTTTGTTGAGTGAATGAATGAAATGCCACAGGCTGAACCCCGATGAATGGCCCTAATATCCTGCATCACATTGCTGTATAGACACCAGGTCCCAAGGACTTCTTTTTTTGCCCTGATGTCTTGTTGCCACTGCCTGCCTCCTAAGGTAACCAAGGAGGGGTTCCCAGGACTAACACTGGTGAAGTGGCAGGCAGGCCAGGAGGAGTTGGCACTCATAGGGTTCTGATTGCATCACATAGGCGAAAGAGCTGTGATAAAAGAGTTCGAAAGCTGGCCTCCAGCTTATACTACTGAACTCTGAGATGAGGGCAATTTTTGGCTCTAGGATGAGTTGCGGTCCTGTGGTGTTATGCATCCTGTTGGGGTCACAGCAGGGCTGGAGTGGGAAATCACCCGCACAGGGCAATGCAGCGTCTCCTTACGAGAAACACATGGGGGTGGAAACCAGTCTTGCTCAACAAGGTTACCGCTATCTGTGGTTTGGGGCCTTTGGAGGTTTTGTCTATTACGGATTTTTAGAGAAGGATCTGGATAGGGAGGGAGTCTAAACGGCACCGAGGAGAAGCATCCTTTTGTGGCTCAGGCCAAAACCTCATCCCATCCATCTGTAATCACTTACAGACCCCCTGAGCAGCCAGAGACCATGTGACCACTCAGTTGCAGCAGGTACCTGATCTTCCACCAGCCTTCCAGGTTCTTCTGGATCACCTCCACCACAGCCCCTCGCTCTAGATTCATTTCATCCTGGTCGCGAGCTGTGTACGGGTAGATGACTGTGTACTTCTCCTCTGCAGGGACAAAGGGATGCTGGGTTAAGTCAAAGACAGTGAGAGTCCTGGGATGCTGACGGCCAAGGCTGTGATACATGAGACGCCCTTGCCCACTGAAAGGAAGGATTTCCTCCAGAAATTTCTGGGGACCCCCTAGGCCCCCATTTAGGCCTGGATGACCCTGTGCAAGCAGCAACAGGACACAGGTCAGGTCCCAATCCCTCTGTCCCTCTGAAATCCCTCAGGGTCATGCAGTCATCCTCATCTTCCTCAAGGTCAAAGCTGTGCTTCAAGGTTACTTTCCTTGACCTTGCTTTATGCAGTATTCCAACTCATGGCAATCTCATCCCCCTTACCCAGGTTTATTTTTTTCCTCATACCAGGAATTACCTTCTAACACACCATACAATTTACCTGGTGATTGTGTTTTGTGTCTGTGTTCTCTGCTAGAATACAAGCACCACGAAGGTAGGGATTTGTGTCTGTCTCAGTTATTCCTCTGTCTCTAGCACTGGGCACGGTACTGGCAATACTGTGTAACTATTTAGTACATTAGTCAACGTTTAGTAAATGAATAGTTCCCAAAGGCCTGGTGGGAGCCACCTAGCTCATGCCAGAGGGGTGAAGTCATCTGTGGCTCCTCCACATTCTTGCCGGTAGAGGGTTCAGGGGTAAGCTAGATTTGGCAACAGATGGTTTCAGGCTGAAATCCCTACCAAGGAGGCTACAGCTAGCAATTTTCTTTCTTCCTTTAATTTTTAAAAGCAATTGTCATTACCTAGTGGGTAACTGACCTTCATTTTTCATTAATTATTTTCAAGCCGCTGGATCCAACCACGCCTGAAGCTTCAATTTTATTTTTAATATTTTGTTTTTTTAATTGAGATATTAATTGACATTTAACACTGTATTCGTTTTAAGCGTGTCACATAATAATTTTATGCACACACATGACCGCACGCGCGCACACACACGTGTGCACAGTGAAATCACTGCCTGCTTCAACTTTCGTTAATGTGACTGGCGTGCCTTCCACCTCACTCTCAGTGGTGCCTCACTCTTTCCCCTCAAAGCCATGGGACTATTTCTCAGGCTCTGCTTGGAGGACTGCTCACTGTCACAAGCTGGCAGGGCCCTCCGGAGAACAAGAGAATAGCTCCCGTGCTCAACACTGTCAGCAGGGACTTCTGAGACAGAACAGATGAGTGTCCCCAGGGACCCTGAAGAGGACACGGAAGGGCTTTCCTATTTAGCTTACATTCCGGCCCCCAGGGAGTGACCGAGCCAGCTGTGGGCTGGTGTTGATGGCCAGCATGTTGGGGCCGACTCTCTTCTCTTTGGGAAAACACCACAAGCTGTCTGTGGCCTGCCCAGCTGGTGTCGAGGGAGGTGGAAAACACAGAGGGAGTTTATTTATTTATTGATCTAGCCCACTGACCTGCTCTGTGGGGGCTGAGCTGACTCAAGTTGCAGATATCCTGCGTACAGCAGAGTCAGCTGCTCCCCTCACTCATGGTAGCTGCAGGGTGGGTGCGGGTGCTGTGAGGAGTGCAGGGGGTAATTCAAACCCGTAGGTGCACAGAAGTTCTCTCTGGTTGGGTGGGAAGGGTTGCTGCTTCAGTCCTAGACTAAATGCTGTCAGTCCTACGGGCCCTGGACTCCTGGGGGCCCACCACTCACCTGAATTAAACACGGAGATTCTCCGGCACCCGGAGGCGCTCTCTGGGCTCCATGAAACACTTAGTGATCCCGAACAAACCTTACAGTGGGAAACCTTGCAGACTGCATGGCAGGTGCCCGCTGACACTGCATGCTTAGCGTCCGTCTGCCCTTTCTCTGTCGCCACTACCAGCCTCCATCCACATGGTTTGGGTAAGGCTGACCTTACCACTGCCTTGGAGGGACGGGGAGGGTGCAGGACCCCGACCTGGCCAAAGTGCTGTCTTCCCCTGGCCACTGTGATTGGTTCAGGGATAGCATGTGGGTCGGTCAGAACCAGTCCCAAGACTTGTGTTGAAGGAGAAGCACTTTCTTTGGTAGGTATCTCTGAAAGGTGCCTGGAATTGCTGTCATGAGAAAATGGTGTCGGCAAGGTAGACAGCAGAGCAGAGGGGAGGAGAGTTAAGTCCCAGATCCCCATAATGTTTTCAAGCCCCTGGATCCAGCCATGCTTGAAGCTAGTCCTTCCCCAGACTTTTCAGTGATGAGCTGATACATTTCCCTTTTGGCCTAGGACAGTTTGATGTGGGTTTCTTCCCCTTGTGATGTGTCTGATAAAAGAAACAGGTCACTGGCTCAGCATTATAGAGGCCCCAGGCATTATTTTTCAACCTGGTAAACTTTAGAGCCCCAGGCCGAGAAATACTGCCCAAACCTACATACCAACACACACAGAACAGGCAAGGTCACGGTTTCTCACATGCAACAGGCATGGGCAGTCCCCGAGCAGGAAGACGCATGCAGACGCAGGGACCCAGCTCCAAACACTGAACAGGGAAGAAAACCCCAAGGTAGGCACCTTGACGCCAGCTGATGGCATACAAGTCCCCCAGAGTCCGGCGGCGGCCCACAGGCCGGGGCAAAGACCAGTACCTCCATGAGACTGGACAGGCAGCATGTAGAGGTGAAGGGCAGAAGGCAGAGGTGAGAAGAAAGCACTCCCAGTGTCTGGAGGCAAAGGGGACGCTGAACGCGCGTTCCCGTTTAGGGGGAATTATTTCTGAGCCTACGCCAAGCCCCAGGTATCTTAAAAGGACCAACTTCCTGAGTATTAACCTTGAACTCGGGTGCAGAGGCCACCAGTAGATATAATTCTATTCCTAGCGTGACTTATAAAGAGGCACTAAAAGAAGGGAGAAGAAAAATGTGCAAACTTAGGAAAATGTGGGATCTCTCCACCTTTTAGCTGTGTGACCCCAAGCAAGTGTCTCTACCTTTCTTTTTTTTTAATTTTTTTTTTTCAACGTTTATTTATTTTTGGGACAGAGAGACAGAGCATGAACGGGGGGAGGGCAGAGAGAGGAGACACAGAGAGGTCGGAAACAGGCTCCGGGCTCTGAGCCATCAGCCAGAAACCCCGATGCGGGGCTCGAACTCCTGGGAGCCAGTGAGATGTCGTGACCTAGTTGAAGTCGGACAACTGCACCGCAGGCACCCAAGTGTCTCTACCTTTCTGAGCCTGTCTCCTCATCTATCAGATGGAGTTAACAATCAGTCTCTTGGCCAGGGGTGCCTTGTGAATAATGTCAACTGCCTAAGGGAGCTACAGCTCTCATGCAGAACACCACAACCCCTGAATCTGAGTGGATTCTGGTTGGTAGCCCTCAGAGCTTGGGGGAAATTTACAAAATTGATGAAAACGACATCTCTCGTTTTCGATGAGGGGTGCTGGCTATAATAAAACTAAACGCAAACCCACATATACGTTTTTTATTAACCTTTCAGCACAGAATTATCCCCCTTCTTGTCACCCTCTTTTCTGATAAACACAAAAAGTGGTTTTGTGCTTTCCCCCGAACAGTCAGCTAAAAGCCCAAATAGTCACGGTGAGCTTTTTAGTTATTTAATAACTTTGTTCTAGTTATTTGTGTCTCGGTTCACTTGAAATGCTTTGCATGTGGAATCTCCTTTAATTAAGAAAAAAAAAAATCTCACGGTACAGACACCATCATTTCCATTTTTAGAGGAGGAGGCTGAGGTGGAGAGAGGTTAAGGTGCTGGCCCAACTCAGCTAACTCACATTCAGGTCTGACTCTAAAACCCTTCGATTTATTAGCTAAGATGGACTCCTACTCTAGTCTCAGGAATGCTTCTAGTGGGGAAAACAGAGTCAGCTGGGCGTTAGCATTTTTGGCATTGTAGGAACCACCCTTCAGGACACCTGTAGGGTAAATTCTCCAGGAAACAGAAGTGTGCGTGGAGAGGGTCAGGCCTAATGCTGACACCCAGACTGGTCGCTGAGAAAGCACACGTTGATAGATACTTTCAGATGTCTTGCGAATGAGCTGGAAGGAGCCCAGCATCTTGGCCATCAGAATGGTTCGAGTGAGGAATAGTGAGGTGCTGGGGTGATCAGGCTGGGGCCCTCCTGGGGGTCCCATGGAAGTGTTAGGTCCCCAGCTCTGGCCAGCCTCACCTGGGTTGGCTCCCAAAGGCCCCTAAGGGTCTGCCTGCTGTTAGCCCCAACCCCACGGCAAGTGCAAGGCTCCAACTCCTTCCTACCTTCTTCAGGCTGTAGTGAAAACTCATCCTGCATACCATCCTGCCCTTCCAGGCAGGTTGCGGGGACCCAGCCTTGCTCTTCAGCCGTGCTGACAAACCACCAACCTGGAAAATGAGAGTGCAGACTGATGTTAGTTGGGTCAGATGTGAAGCTTGGGGGTCAGAGTATAATAATATGTTCAGCCACTATGAGTCCATGCTTAGGGTAAGGCAAAAAATTGCCATTTTGTCATGGAACACAGCTACCCATGTTAGCTGCCTGCTAACTGCTAAGAATAGCCTAAGAAGAAACCCACTTCTGGGGCGCCTGGGTGGTTAAGCATCGGACTTCAGCTCAGGTCATGATCTCACAGTTTGTGAGTTTGAGCCCCATATCGGGCTCACTGCTGGCAGCACAGAGCCTGCTTTGGATCCTCTGTTCCCCTCCCTCTGTGCCTGCCCCCCTTCTCTCTCTCTCTCTCTCTCCCTCTCTCACACACACACACACACACACACTCTCTCTCTCTCTCAAAAATAAATAAACATTAAAAAAAAAAAAAAAGAAGGGGCACCTGGGTGGCTGAGTTGGTTAAACGTCTGACTCTTGGTTTCTGCTCAGGTCATAATCTCATGGTTTTTTGAGTTTGAGCCCCACATTGGGCTCTGCGCTGACAGTGTGGAGCCTGCTTGGGATTCTCTGTCTCCCTCTCTCTCTGCCCTTCCCCTGCTCACGCTGTCTTTGTCTCTCTCAAAATAAATAAATAAACTTAAAAAGAAAGAAAGAAAGAAAAAAAAAACCCACTTCTGAGCTGGGACAGGGGAGAGAAAGGTCGTCCTGAATGGTGAGAGTAAAGAATGTAGCTATCTTCACTAAGGTATGCAAGGCACTAACCATTTTACTTACACTCTTTTATATAATCTTCAGATTATCATCCCCATTGCACAGATGAGGAAACTGAGGCTCCAAGAAGTCAGTACACTTGTCCAAGTTCCCATGGCTCAGGGCAAAGCTGCTATGTGCACCCAGGGCTAAGAGATACTGAAGCCACTGCCCTGATGACTTATCTGAGACACTGAGTTTGCATTTGCTCATGTCAAAGTAAATCTGGCTGCAGTGTAACTGAGAGGCCCCTCACCCAGACTCAGGTCCTCCTCCTTTCGAGAAGGGCTTGTACTCTGTGGCAGGCAGAACAGTGACTGGCCAAAGATGTCTGTGTCCTCATCCTGGGAACCTGTGCCTATGTTAAGGAACTAAGGTTGCAGGTGGTGGGATCAAGGTTGCAAAGCAGCTGAACTACAAATAGGGGGTTATCTGGGGTTATCAGGGTGGGCCCCATGCATTACAGGGGAGGCAGAAGAAGAGTCAGGGAGGTGTGGCTGCGGAGGAAAGACGAGAGAGGCACAGTACTGCTGGCTCTGAGGACTGGGGAGGGACCATGAGCCAAGGGATGGGGTGGCCTCTAGAAACTGACTGGAAAAGGCAGAGAAGCAAATCCTATCCAGAACCTGCAGACGGGAACTCAGCCCTGCCAACGCCTTGATGTTAGCCCAGTGGGACCCAATTTGGACTTGAGACCTACAGAACTGTAAGATGAATAATTTACGTGGTTCGAGGCCACTAAGTTTGTGGTACTTCGTCACAATGGCAACCGGAAATTAACACAGGGCCCAACAGGCTCTGCACAGTATAATGGAAAAACAGGATCTGCTCCCCAAGATCACATACCTCCAAGCCCTGGAGACCCCAAAAAAGAAGAGAAGGAAGGGGCAGCCTACTGAGTAGCCTTTCTGGTTTTACAGGGAGGCCTTTGCTTTTGACCTCCCTGACTTGGAAGTCACCTACTTTACTCGGCTGGACACTCCTTTTGCAATACAAGTTTTGGTGGCTGTGTGTGTGCGTGTGTGTGTGTGTGTGTGTGTGTGTGTGTGTGTGTGTGTGTGCGCTCGCGCGCGTGCGCAAGTGAATGGGGTGGATAAGTCTGTGGAAAACCAGAAATTAGAAGATACACCGTATGTCTTCCTAAGAACTCGTATCTGCCGGTATTTGTGTGGGGGTTCAGGAAACTCACTATATAACAATGACAGTAACGTGTGCCAGACTGTCACAGTGCTTGACATCTGACTGGCGGGATCCTCACAATAGCCCTACAAGCTGCCTACTATTACTGCCCCATTCTACAGATGAGGAAGCCGAGGCTCAGAGAGAGGCAGTGACTTGACTAAGGTCACAAAGAAAGTGGCAGAGCCAGGATTCATTCCTAGGCTGTCCTAGCCTCACAGTCTCAGCTCTTAACTCTGCACCAATGCCTCATGCATTGCTAGAGGGAGAGTAAATTGCCATGACCAGTTTGGAGACAATTTGGCAGGATCTTAAAATTCAAAATATGTGTACCTACGGTCCAGTAGTTCTATGTCTCATTGTCTAACCTAAAGAAACACCAGTGCGCACAGATATTCTATTCATGGTAGAGAAAAATATGGCTTATGTAGATCAACAGTAGGCAGATGTTAAGGGAATAAAAGCTGAATGTTGACTAAAAAGCATGCTGCAGATCAAAATGATCAAAAGGTACAGAATGATAACACTGGGGTTAAACTATAAAGTTATATCAACACACACAAAATGTTGTGTGTGTGTGCATATGGTTACGTATCTATGTATGGGCACACATGTAGACATACAGTTCACACACATACACACATGCACAAAGACACATATATACATATACGTATATGTACGTGTATACAGTTATCAAGAAGGATTCGGAGTGAACCGTTAGAGAGTCTATTTGGGGTTTTGAAAGGGGACTAATGTTGAAGCTAGTGGAAAAAGCAGATTTTAACTTTATGGTTGTTCTAAGAAGAATGTGTCCAGTATTACTTGGCTGGTAAAATACAGTTAAAAATAAATGTTGCCAGTTTTTTGGCCCCAGGAAGATTTCATTGTCTGCCTCCTTTCCCCTGCCGCCTTCTGGACACACCAGGCTTATCCTCAACACCCCATCCTGGCTTCCACTCTCCTCCCAGCCATGGAGTCTTCCCGACTTCACGCAAGCGGGCTGCCCAGAGGGGTGGGGGCTGCCTTCCTTAGTCCCTGAGGAGCACATATTCATTCCCAGGAATCAGAAAGTCACGTGCCCTTGGGGCCAGCTGGAATTGGTTTGGAATTCCAGCTCGGTAACCTGTCATGAGATCTGGGGTGAGTGACCACGTCACTTAGCGTCTTGTTTCTTTGGCTGTGATGCAGGGATGGTAGTTGCTATATTGAGTAATTAACGAGTTTGGTTGGCTAATGCAGATCTCATGACTGTGGTAACATGATTCAGATGCTGCTGCAAACACAGCTTTCCCTCTGTTTGTTGGCCGTTTGTTGGTCCTTAACTGGCCAATGGGGTGTCACAAAGACGGGCCTGCCAATCATATTATTAGGCAAGGTCACATTTTAGCCACAGCAAAGCGGGTGGGTTTATGCCACTTTTTCCTGGAGAGGAGCTGCTCACCCCCTACTCCTTGCCCTTTTCTTTCGATAGTGCTGATGGCTACTCTGTGGCTAAGGAAGGCAACCGGGAGGGAAACCCACATCCTTGAGTACCTATTGTGTGCCAGGCACACTCTAGGCACTATCTCATTTGATCCTTACAATAGCTCTTTGAAGTAGCAGCGTTTTCTATTTTGTATATTTTGCATATGAGAGAATTGATGGTCTGAGAGGAGCAGCAAGCTGGACTGCTGTGAGGTGCAGAGTTGAGGCTCAGTGTCGGATCATACCACATTCCGTCCCAGACCTGGCCAGTGTACATGACCAGTGGCCCCCGTGATGACAGGTGGGCCGAAGAGTCAGGTGGCGTGTCCGTCCCACCAGAGCCTACAGCTGGCGGAGCCTTCGTGAAGACTCCCACGGTAATCAAAGGCAATGTTCCAGTGGAATGCTGGACTCCATGTCTCTAAGTGGCTTTGAAACCAGAAGACCCGTTCACGAAATGTGACCCTCAGAATAAATTGGTAACAACGGACCCAACAGGATGCTGGCGAGTTGTGACCAAGGGGGATATCTGAGCACCGTGATCAAACAGAGGCAGCTTTCTAAGAGGTTGTCAGCTGGATCTGTGGAAACGGCCCAGCTCAGATCAGCGATCGCTGTTTCTGTGTTTGTAAACATCTCCTGTCCTAGGGGCTCGGGGACAGCGTAGGGCCGGGAGGGAGATGGTTTAGTTCTCCTACCTGACTCGTTCTTCTCGATGATGTCCACCACCTGCCCCACGCTGAGGCTGATCTCCGAGCTCTCCTGCTTCTGGTAGTCTGCCACCACCACATACTGCTCCAGGACCATGGGGTCCACTGAGGTCAGGTCACCCCCTGTGGATACAAAACCCACATGCAACCACTGCCCACACGTGAAGGAGCGAGAGCCAGGGGAGAAGGGTGGGTCAGGAGAATATTCCAAAGAGAGAAAGAAGCTATCATAGGACTTACCTTGAGGGTCACCTCATCCATTCCTTCCTGCATAATTTGCTCGTGCAACCACCAAAATTTACCAAATACCTATTCTATGCAGACACTGTGCAAGGCACTGGGGATTCAGAGTTGGTCAAGATATGGTACCTGCCTTGAAGAAGCAGACAGCCTGATGGGAAAGTGCATTCATGCATACCAATCCTTCCTTCCATCCATTTATCCGTCCATCCACCCGCCCATCCAAAATCACTCATCTTGTAATTCAGGAAGTCACCAGTGATGTTCCAGACCCTCTATTAGGTGCTGCGGGTACTAAAGTGAATGAAACAGACATGACTCCCAGTCTCAAGGACGTTAACCTAGTTGGGGCACATAAACAAATGTACATCATGACAAGTATACAGGATAATAGAAGTATTAATTTTTGATAGCTACATTGCTGGAAACAACCAGGAAGCTGGACCAAGACTGGGAAAGGGGATGCCACATTCAATGGGGTGGTGAACAAGACCTCCCTAAGACAGGGGCATGAACAGGAGACATGAGAGGATGGGGAAAGAACGGTGCAGGCAGACTCTTGGATGGGAAAGGGCCCGGAGCCTTCTAGGAACTGGGAGGAGGGCAGGGGACTGAAGTCTAGTGAGTGAGGACAGCAGTCCCGTATGAAGACACACAGGCAGGCAAGGGCCAGAGCAGGCAGATAAGAAGTTTGGATTTTTTTCACCCTCAAGTAGAAAGCCAGTAGAGGACTTGAAGAAAGGAATGACAAGTACAAATTTACATCTTTAGAAAGAGAATTCTGGCTGCCACACGGAGCCCGGAAAGAAAGCAGGAAACCAGACGGAGACCAGCTGTCAGGCAGGAGACGGCGGTGGCTTTGGACCATGGCAGTGGCAGTGGGAGAGAAGGGTGTGGACAGGTGCACCAGGAGAGGCAGTTTCCACAGGACGCGGTGGATGGTGCCCTCTGGAGTTGTGTGGTCCTGGTTAAGCAGTAAATCACACCTGCCTAACAAAAGAAAAGATATTGCAGACTATGGCTGATGTAAAGGGAAATCTGCATTCAGAGACTCCAAAGAGAAGGGAATGGCCCTCTTAGAGCAGCAGACGGAATGCGGTGGGAGGGCAGCCTGACATTTCTGGCCACGGGGTCTTCATTTTCTGCAAGTCCTGATTCACAGCATTTCCTCCTATTGTTTCCATAAACAACTGAAATAGCCAGGGAATCCCACCTCTCTGTGTCCAAGCACACCCGGTAACGGAGTGGTGTGCGAGGGCCAGGCCACCCTGAGCCCGTTTTGTGCATCTCTTCCCAGCTCTGTTGGGTGGCGCCTTGCCGGTAGCTTGAAATTGGCCACCGTGGGAGTATTTACACCATGGATATTGGCAAATGCTACAAAGCAGGGCTTTCGATCAGAAAGCTGGTTGTGAAGTATTTACCAGCACGCCAGTGCCCTCCAGCCTCCGGCATCCAGAAAGAGCACAAAAGCCCTTTGTCAGCACCATGCGCTCTGAATTTTTGATGTGGGAAGCTAGAATAGGGCATTGTAGCAGGGTGAAGCGTTACTGCCTCTTGGCTCTGTGACTGAGGCCAGTGCCTCTTCCCAGCTGAGGTTGATGGAGGGAAACAGGAGTGGGAGGGTCCCAGGGCCACCCTGGGTAGAGAAAGCACGGGAACAGAGAAAGAGCAGAGGAGAGAGAGGGAGATGTAGGCTGAAGGTTCGGGAGAGGGTCTGGAGGGAAGCAGCCCCACATGAATGCCTGTCACATCACACGTAAACTGTATGGCCGCACACCATACATAAACTATGTCAACACAACCACCTGGAAGGTGGCTACTACCTTGTTTTACAGACACGAAAAGAGAGGCCCGGAGATATCAAGTGACTTCCCTCGGGTCCCACAGCTGGATGGTGACAAAGCCAGACTTGAATCAGGTCCACCTGGCTCAAAGGCTCCCAGTGTGGGGGTAGGTGAGGAAAGAAAAGACGCTAGGGAAGGAAGTGTGGTCTGAGGCCCGCTTGCTTTCCTTCCCTGTGGGTTCCCATGAGCACCTGTGAGCACCCCCAGGGACCAGTAAGGCCAAGTTTTATTTCCTTGTGTCTCTCAGGGGTATCTTCTCTCCTCCAGCACCTCTCCTGAGGCTGGCCTGCAGGGCTGACTTCCTCACTGCCTTGCACAACAGTCCACCCCAGCCAGCCCAGCTGGGCTTTCAGTCGCCTTCGAGCAAGCTGGTTATTGCCCCTCCCGCTGCCCCCGCTAGATAATAAGCTCTGGACAGCGGAAGTCTTGATGGTGTCCTGAACCACCTGGCACTGGGCCCACAAAGATCCTACCACGTGAGTGAATGGAGGTAGATTCTGGCTTGCTGGAGGCTCCTGGCCATTGAGAGCTGGGGACAATTTCCCCAGGGAATGCAAGAGGTAGAGACTCCAGAGTCTAGAGTTTTTACCCCGGGATATAGCCTGCCTTGGGGATCACAATCCCAGGAATGCAGCTACTCTTCTGATTTGGCCCTCTGGTGGGCTGTATCCAGGCCAACTGTGTTTCTCTGTGCCTTAACTTGAGAGAAAGAACTGGAGAAGACAGGAGAAAAGTATCCACTTCACAGTCAGGTTGGAACTTGTGCCCACTGCTCAGGTGCCCAGGGTCTTCCGGGCAGGAAGTCAGGGGGCTGGTGGAGTCACAGTGCGGCTATACTCATGCCTGGGGGTTCTCTGCTGCCACCTGGAGGCAGGTCGGTATTCTTTGTCACAGAGCCACAGGTTTGATGCGGGTGGACCTTTTTAGCGCTTTGTCACCTGACTTTACTCACATCCTCTGCACCAGGGACTGAGTGAGGCTTCTTTGGGATGGTGGTGGTGGTGGGTGGGGGGAGGGGGGAAATGACACTTATAACTGGTCTCTATCCTGCCCCTCCGGTCTGTCCTCCATATTGCAGAGTGCTTGCTTCAAAAATGCTACTCTGATCATGCCTCTCCCTGCTCAGCACCTGCTGTGGCTCCCCACTGCCCTCAGGTTCTCTACAATCTGGACTCTGCTGGCCTTTATGGCCGTGTCTTTTGGCTCTCTCATCCCTGGTGTACCTAGAAAACAGCATAGGCTGTTTTCAGGATGCCTTTTCCTCTCCTCTGCATTCACATGGGAACCACCTATTCTTAGCCTCCTAACTCGTCTCTTGCCCCAGCCTTGACTGCTACGATTTGCTCTGGACACAGCAGCTATAGTGATCCTTTCAAAAGATGTGTAAGATCATGTTCCCCAAAGGTCAAGACCCTACAGTGGCTCTGCCTCACTCAGGAAAAGCCCGGTGGCCCATGGGGCCCTGCCTGATCTCTCTGACCATTTCTTCTCCACTGTCCCCGATATGGCATAGGAAATTGCATGGTTCAGCGTCCTGCTCAAGTGGTATCTCATCAACGGAACCTTCTCTTGACCTAATTTTATTTTGCCATAGAGTTAAAAAAAAAAAAAACACAGAGTCTGTGTAGTCACTAGTTTTCCTGTCTGTTTTCCCACTCTAGAACATAAGCCCCATGAGTGCAGGCTCTTGTTTAGTGTTGGACTCCCTGCCCAAAGGCTCACAGGCCCATGTGGTCTGCTTTGGTGCAAAGGGAATTTGGAAAGTTGTTCTATTTTTATAGGGTTGTAAAGGAGAAGGAGAGGAAGAGGAAAAATTATTATTGACAGAACCTGTATGTGGCCTGCAAACCCTAAAATATTTGCTTTCTGGCCCTTCAGAGAAAAAGTTTGCCAACATCTGGCCTAGAATGTGAAGGGCACCTACTAGGCTCAATGAACATCTGAAGGAAAAAAAAAAAGAATATTCTAAAACTCATCCTTGGCAGACTTCCTTCCTCAGAAAGAAATGAAAATGTCTTCCTTTGCCATACCTACAACATCTCATTTTCTTTATCCTCCTATTCGTTCTACCAGACTGTAAGAAGGCTTCCCACATCTTGTTTACCTTTGCATTCCCTGGGGGCCTAGAGTACTGTCAGGTACACAGTAGGTGCTTGGTAAACATTTAATCAACAACTGCGTCTGTCCTGTTCACTTGTCACTTAGCACAGACACTCAACGGATATTTGTGGACTGAATCGACAAATGATGAAGGGAAACTTCTAGAAACTCTTTGCTTTGCATGGCGCCAGGCCTCCTCCTGTGTTGAGAGTTACAGAAGGCACCTGTCCATCTTATGGGCAACCAAAGACTGTTCCTTCTTGCCTACAAGTAGGGACAGAGCTTTGATTAAGTCAGGGTCCAGTTAAGTATGGGTGCTCTGTCCAAAAAGTTAATTGTTGCCACCCAGTTTTAACAACTGATGGTGGTACACCTGTACAATATAGTTTTCAGGAATCTGATCAATGGAGTGATCTATTCATTTCTGCACCAACTCTCCCAACCATGCTGCCAAGGGGATTTGGGAGAACCAACAGCAGTGACAGAATCAGAAAATCACGGGACTCACTGCAAACAAGACACAAATCCAGGAAGTGAGGAGGTCAGGGAGCAAGGGTTAGGACTCTGGGCTGGCCATGAGCAGATCTGGTACTGGCACAGGGCTCAGGGCTGGCACTTCCTCCAAGACTCGCTCAGGGGCCACGTCTCTGTCTTACATCTCCTTCTTCTTCTTCTATGACAGCAGCTTTTATACCAAAGTGCCCTGCCATTAAGTGGTTCAGAAAAAAGTGCATGGGGCTGCCTTTCCAGCAGTTCTTTTGCCTTCATTTTACCCAGAGCACTCAACTTATGAAAACCTCATTGGTTTGACTACCAGAATTCTCACACTAGGCTTCAAGCCACACTAGGCTTCAGGCTTTAGGTGGACACCTACCGGTGGACAGCGATATTGCACCCAAGCTCTATAATGCATGTAATAGCAATACCTCAAGTTGATGCAGGTAGTAGCTAAGTACTAGGAGCTACAAGTTTGAAATCAAAGTGTTCCTAGGTAAGCAGTGTCATTCTTGTGGTCCAGCAGGAATAAGAGAAGGAAAAGGTCAGCATAAAGGAGGAGATTCGACAGCAGAAGGGTGATTTTGACATTGAGGAAGTGCTATAACATATTCTCAAGAGGTACAGTGCCTAATCTACCACAGAATTTCCTAGTTGGGATGTTTTGATTCATGATGACATGTTTTGAATTTTATTAAAAATTTTTTTAATGTTTATTTTTGAGAGAGCGAGCAAGCAGGGGAGGGGCAGAGAGAGAGGGAGACACAGAATCTGAAGCAGGCTCCAGGCTCTGAGCTGTCAGCACAGAGACCAATGTCAGGGTCAAACTCATGGACCACAAGATCATGACCTGAGCCGGAGGTGTATGCTTAACCGACTGAGCCACCAGGTGCCCTGACTTGTTTTGAATTTTAAAGATAACTGCCATGGACTGAATTCTGTCCCTCTAAAATTCATATACTGAAGCTTTAACTCCCATGGGATGGCATCTGGAGGTAGGGCCTTTGGGAGGTAATTAGGTTTCGATGAAGTCATGAGGGTGGGGCCCCCAGGATGGGGCTAGTGCCCTTACTAGAAGAGACACCAGAGGGCTCGCTCTTGCTCTCTCTCTGCCATGGGAGGACACAGAGAGAAGGCAGCAGCCTAGAAGCCAGGAAAAGGGCTCTTGCCAGAACCTGATAATGCCGGCACCTTGATCTCAGACTTCCAGGCTCCATACTTGGAAAGAAATAAGCTTCTGTCGTTTAAGCCACTCAGTCAATAGTTTTTTTGTTTTGGCAAAATATAGTGAGCAATGATAAAGTGGGATTTTCTTTCCAGAAATTGACCATACTGCCAGTCTTACTGGAAGAGCCAGTAAATCAGAGTATACTTCAATAAGTAAAGGGTAGAAAAATCAAGAAGAAAGACGCTCCTTAAATAATCAGATGACCTCTTAAATTTTGGTGGGAGGATTTTTTTCTTGCAAGAGGAGCAGAAGTTGAGACCACATTAGCCAAAGTCTGCTGGCAAATTCTGGAGACAGGTGAGCTTTCTTCAGTTCAGAGTACCAGCACAGAAATCTCTGGGTTTGGGCTGTCGACCTTAAATCCCTTTCACACTCAATCAAGAAGGCCATTACTAACACAGAGGAAGAGTTCAAAGGTCAGATAAAAAAATAAGGCTCATCTCCGCATGGGTCCTTAGTCTGAAAAGAAAAATGTTATTTTCCATCCAGCTGAACTATAAATAAATCCACCCCTCCATCATTGCAGGTGAATGATGTAATAGTCATCACCACAAATTAGAGCTTCTTCTCTCTTTTCCAGACCAGTCCCCTCATCAAGCCTGTTCCGACCGGACACTTTGGTTTTTGCAAACTAGAGCTGTCTCTTTCCTCTCTTCCTTCAGCCTTTCCCTCCAGGAAAAGTCTCTGCACACTCAAAGCCAGAAACCCTTGTGATCAGCCCAAGAGTTCCTCTTCTCCTCTCTGTTCTTTTCTAAGAAACGTATCATTATCCTCAGAGCCCAAGGGCCGTGCACAGCTTGAACAGGATGCCATGGCTCTGGCCAGTACTTATTAAACGCAAAGTGCAGCTCTAAACAGACTGGCTGGGGAAAGGCGGGCGTTCGTTCCAGACACGAGACCTTGAGGCAGAGACCTAGCTCCTCTCTACTTTCCCTTGCAAGCACAGCTTGGGCCCTGTAAAGCTGACCACAGGCCCTGTACCCAGGGGGCAGTAAAGGGACCAGGACTACTGAATTTGGAATTTCTACTGATGCTGGACAGGGACATCCATGTGCTTTGAATTAATGGCAGCAGTATAAAGACGGCAGCAAACACGTATCACTTAAAATGTGCCAGGCACTGGTCTGAGTGCTTTATACATATTACTATAAATCCTACAATAACCCTCCAAGATGGATTGCTATTATTATCCCCCATTTTACAGATGAGGAAATGGAGGGCCACGAGGGGAGGCAGGCATCCTTTTTTACTTCTGGGATCTCTGCTTGGCCCTTCTCTCCCCACAGCATTATCAATGCCCTCAAACTTCCTGGAGTCCTAGATACATAAAAGAACTTGGAATTCTGGAAGCTCTGAGGACCATGCTGGCTCCAGGTGTGGTGGTGTGGGTAGGGGACTCTGCAGATATGGGGGGGTGGGGGGCAGATAATACTGGGTTTGCAGAAGAAAAGGTTGGACTATTGTGAGTCTAAAGTTATCAACCCCAGGCCTGCGATGACTCAATCATTCCTCTGTGCATACCTAAATCCCCCCCTTCTCTTTTCCCATCACTGCTCTAGGGAGCGGAAGGGGTGCTGGGAAGGAAGGGAACTGGTGCCCGGGAGAAGGGAGTGAGTGCCAGAGGTGGTGGGAAGAGTGGCCCTTATTGCCCAGCAATAACAGCAGCCCAGAGGCTGGGCCCAAACCTGTGCCTCCCGCCTGCGCACCTCCCCGCAGCCCTAACTGCCCCTTCGCTCTGTGGAAAGCTCCCGTTCACTCTTTAAGACCCAGTGTCCCTCCTTTTGTGACCCCTTCCGACACCTGAGAAGAATGCTCTTAGCTGTGAGTCACCACATTCCTCTGTCTACAGCAGAATAAAGGTATTTAACCCCCTACAGGTGGTCAGGAGCTATCGGGCTCCCCTATTCCTCTGAGGCATTCTCAGGGAAAGACAGCAGGTCTTATCCACTCTAACTTTTTGACACAGGATGCAACAACCTCCAACACTTTTTTTTGGAAAACAGGCTGGGGTATCAACCAATCAATCAAGCATCAACCCATCCATCCACCCATCCACCCACCCAGTCCCATGCTGTATCCCTCAGGCAGTGCCCAGGGACTGGCAACCATCGGTGCAGAGTAGGGGTATGCTCACCATTGAATGAATAGGAGAAAATGGAAAAATATTCTTACCAGATTTCTTTTTCCCAACATGCTCCCTGCACAGGAAAGAAAGGGGTGGGAGAGAATAACAAGTCAGTACTGTTATATAGCGACACGAGTTATTCCATTAGGAAACGGAGATTCTCCATTCCAGATCATCTCCAGTGAATGAAGAAAAGCCAAGTCAGCCCCAGGGACCCAGACTCTTCAAAGAAGAAAGAACTCCTTTTCATTTACTCCTTTTGCCTGATAAGTGCTTCGGTGCCCTGGGGACTAGCATCTCCACTCTATTTGTAGAGTAGGGGGCCCTGGGGAGGAGCTGATGTGGGGGCATGCAGTATAAAAGCAAGAGTAGGCCCCCATGTTGCACTGAGCCTGATGCGCACCTCGTCAGGCACAGCAGAGGCCCTGTCCCACCTCCTGGGGGTGCCCTGAGCCATATACACGAAGCAGAAAGCTCTTGGCAGTAAGTGGTGAGGGGAACACACTATAACACTGGGTAGGAGTCTGGATAGCAGTGAAGAAAACACATCTCCCTCGTGGTGACAGAGAGAACACTACCGTGGGCTAGAATTCACACTGAATAGTGAGTAATGTATTTGTCAACCCTTGTATTTGTCAACCACATCAGAATGTGTACATACCGCTGCATCACAAATACAGTATGACAAATCAGGGTTTACACATACTTTTTAAGTAAATTATCCCAGTAGTAAAAAGGTTTCCAATGCTATAAAGAGAAAAGGGAGGTGACAGGGTGGTTGGGTTGAGACAGATGTCGTGGTGGCAATAACATTAGCCATATGTTATTACCATATGCCAGTACCCTGCTAGATACTGTTTAGTTCACTCACTTAACACTCAGAACAGCCCTTGGGAATAAGTACTCTTTTAATGCCTATTTTATAGATGAGGAAAATGAGGCCCAGAGAGGTTAGGTAACTTGCCTAAGGCTACACAGCTAGTAAGTAGCAAGCGGAAGCCAGATCTACCTACCTAATTTTTGTTTTATGTTTATTTATTTTTGAGAGAGAGAGAGAGAGAACGCGAGCAAGCAGGCGAGGGGCCGAGAGAGAGGTGGACAGAGGATCGGAAGCAGGCTCCGCGCTGAGAACAGAGAGCCTGACACGGGGCTTGAACTCACTAACCGCGAGATCACGACCTGAGCCGAAGTCAGACACTTAACCAACCAAGCCACCCAGGCGCCCCAGATTTACCTAATTCTCAAAAATTGAGCTATCATTCACACATCATAAAATTCATTGTTTTAAAGTGTAGAGTCCACTGGTTTTTGGCATCTTCGCAAGGTTGTGCAATCATCACCCTAATTCCAAAAAAATATTCATCATTGCACAGGGAAGCCCTGTACCTATAATGGTCACTTGCTATCCCCACCCCTCCGAGTAGCTGGCAAACACTAATTTGCTTGCTGCCTTTAATGACTGGTCTATTCTGGACGTTTCATATGAATGGGGTCATACAGCAAGAGGCTTTTTGTGATGGCCTTCTTTCGGGTGGAATGTTTCCAAGGGCCATCCATGTTGTACCATGTGTCACTATTTCATACCATCTGATGGCTGAATGCTATTCCCTCATGTGGGTAAACCACACTTTGCCGATCTGCTCATCAGCTGATGGGCGTTTGGGTTGTTTCCGCTTTTTGTCCATTATGAATATGCATCTATCAACATCTGAGCTGAGGTCAGATGCTTAACTGACTCAGCCACCCAGGTGCCCAAATTTAGTCTCATTTTAGCCACCGTGTAATGATGCTTTCACCGTTATCTTGGAAGGGGGTGAGGGGGCTCAGACAATCCCCTGAGCCTGGGGCCACACTCCTGTGCAGCTGGGAGGAGTGGCAGGGCCCCAGTGCTGGGCTGCGCAGGTCGGTCGTGATGTCCCCTGGCCAGGCACTACCTCAGTGGGGCTAAACTTCATCACCCGTGCGTGGGGGGTTGGGGGGTGGTGGTGGTTGAGAGCTACGGAGGAATAATGTAGCTCAGGCTTCCTGGCACTTGCTGTGGAGACACTGCTGGTCAGAGCGCTGTATCTGGACCGCCCCAGTGAACCCTCACGACAATCCTCGAGGGTTACTCCATTTCACAGACGGAGACACGGAGGCCCAGGGAGGCGAAGCACCTCAGCCAACATCAGAACCCAGGAGACCTGGCTGGGGCCCACTCTCCTGCCCGAACCCTGGCCTGGCCAGGGGCAGGGGGGGCTGCAGCTGGGGCAGGGGGCTGGGGGCAGGAGGGGGCTCTTGGTTTCCAGCAGCAGCAGCAGCAGCATGTGTGGGCTCACGTAGGCACATTACCTCTCTGTGCGACATGCCTGGCAAGGTCCCAAGTTTTCCCGTGCACGGCAGCAAAAACCTTCCTTTAACAGCACCGTTTGGAATCCATCTCCTGTCTGCCTCAAGACTGCTGGGAAAGACCCCCAGTCTCCACCTTCAGCCCTGACTCGGGAACGAGCTTCAGGAGGCTGACCAAGGGACCAGCTGCTTTGCTGCTGTTCATTCCTCCCTAAGCCAACAACCGAGGCCCACCAGGGACTGCCTGAGGGGCCCCAGAGCCATCCCCTGGGCCCTCAGCAACCCTCCTACCTTCCCCTTCAAAGCCCGCTTTAAAGACAGGAAGACGTCACCAGGTAAGTACCTGCCGCGTGCCAGACTCTCCTTTATCGGCAGGGTGGTGCTCAAGCCTCACAACCACGATGCGATCAAGGTCAGCCAAGCCCACCTTGCTGATGAAACAGAAGCTCAAGGAAGTCAAGACGCTTGTTCAAGGGGACAAGTAGGAAAAGGAAACAGAAATTGGGAACTTTTCCTTCTTTCCAGGAAGCCTCTTGGAACTAGATACATATCCTCCAGCAGGATGCTGGTTAGCTGCCGTAGCTGTTACTTTGTGCTTTCTTTGGTACAGTCCAGGCTATGTTTTGTATTTTTAGTGGATGTTCTATTGGTGTGCATGTGTGTGTGTGTACGTGCGCTCTCTCTCTCTCTCTCTCTCTCTCTCTCTCTCTCTCTGGTCAAAGAGCCTGGCTGGCACTTCTCAGCCCTTCCTGACAGGTGCTGTCTCTTGCTCCTAGGACCCCATGACGGCCCTGCACCTGTAGGCTGGTCTCCCCTTCCCTCATGGCGACTGCAGACACACATGGTGGTCTCCCCCACAACAAAACTTGTCAAAAAGCACTATGTGCATATCACTGTCTCACTGGCGGGGCATATGGTGCCATCAACTCCTGGTATGTGAAAGCTAGAAGGCAGGTGAGGAAATTCTTTGCCGCGTGCCCCAAGCAGTTGGGACTATCAGCTGTGCAAGGACAGGCGCCAGGAAGCGCCGTCTGTCTGCTGTAGGGGCTGTGGTGAACATTCTGGATAGCACTGGACCTGGGCGATAAGATCAAGTGACCCTGGCCCGTAACCCTGAGCAGGTCTCGTCACTCACCCGTCCATCTCCCTCCGGTCCTGGGCACATTCACCCCTTGTGGAGCAAGGCATAGGATGATCTCCTACTGGAGCCCTGCCTCAAGGGCCCGTAGCCTCCTGTTTCTAGCATGCTCCATGCATTCCGTGGTTAAGTGTGGATCTGTAGGGGGTTCCTTCCCTGGGAGGGCCACATGGAGCAAGGCCCCACCAGGGCTCAATCAATGGGATCCAGCACAATTTTACTTTAGCTGGCGGTCTGGGTAGCTCCAGTCCAAGGCCTTGATTTTGGCTCAGGTCATGATCCCAGTGTCGTGGGATTGAGTCCCACATCAGGCTCTGTGCTGAGTGAAGAGCCTGCTTGGGATTCTCTCTCTCCCTCTCTTTTTGCCCCTCTGCCCCACTCGCATGTTCTCTCTCTCTCTCTCTCTCTCTCTCTCTCAAATTAAGAGAAAATCTTTACCCGCTATACTCCCGTTCTTCCTGGGGCTGGCCTGGCAGCAGGGATGGCTGTGAGGAGCACCTCTGGGGAAGCTGTTACATCCAACTTACTCTCTTCCAGAGATTTAAGGTCCTCGAGTCTTGTCTCAAAGAACTGCAGCACCTCGTCACACTGAGAGATATAGGGGGGCAGCTGGATCAGGGCCTGGAGAAGAGACACAAGTGAGTCCAGGGGAAGGAAAGGGGTGTCAGGAATGCAATGAGCCAGGGGTTCTCAAACTTGGGTATGATCAGAATCTCTTGGCGGGGAGTGTGTGAAAACAGCTGGGGACCAGCCCCAGATTTTCTGATTCAGTAGATCTGGGGTGGGGCCTGAGAATGTGCATGTCTGACACCTTCTCTGGTGCTGCTGCTGGTTTGCGGACCGCACACACACATGCGTGCACACACACGCACTCTGTATACACACACACACACGTGCGCACGCGCATTATGGGCATATCTGAACAAATAACATGCACACATTTAGATAAAACACTCAACTATGGACTTCATGCCACGTCATCATTCTTACACAACTTCGTCTCTACTGGATATTGGGTGTCTACTGCACAAACGTATCCTACTTTACCGACCCAGCTGCCTAGTGGTGAACGCTTAGCTTGTTTCCAACACGCCCGCATGGATGTCTTAACTCACAGATCTGCAGTTTTAAGTGAAGGCGCAGCTTTAGGATTTGGGTAGAGGTTCGAAGTTCCCAAGTTATGGGGCACGTGGGTGGCCTAGTAGATTAAGCATCTGACTTTGGCTCAGGTCATGATCTCACGGTTCATGAGTTTGAGCCCCACATTGGGCTCGCTGCTGTCAGCACAAAGCCCGCTTTGGATCCTCTGTCCCCCCTCCTCCACTCGCTCTCTTAGATAAATAAAAAAAAATTTTTTTTTTAAGTTTTACTTTTTTATTTTTTTTAATGTTTATTTCTGACAGAGAAAGAGAGAGAGAGAGAATCAGAGAGGAGAGCAGAGAGAGGGAAACACAGAATCTGAAGCAGGCTCCAGGCTCTGAGCTGTCAGCATAGAGCCAGATGTGGGGCTCGAACTCACAAACCATGAGACCATGACCTGAGCCAAAGTCGGACACTTAACTGACTAAGCCACCCAGGTGCCCCCCCCCCCCAAAAAAGTTTTAAAGAAAAGAAGTTCTGAGGTTACTGAGGGGTTGAAACATCTGGTATCTCCCACTGCCCGAGTCATATAAATCTGCCATCCCAGCTCATCAGTTAAAGGACCCTCAGAGGTGTGCCAGCGGATTGGATAAGGAGTGGGAAGAAAGCACAAATGGGACTAGGTGTTGTGCTAATTTACCTACCAATAGGTATCCATTCATTGATTCAACAGACATGATCTTTGTGCCCAGAACTGCATGGTTTCTGTGTCCAATACAAGAAGTATAGGGTACATCCTGATCATGAAGGGATTTGAAACTAAGACATGGCTCCACAACGAATAAACAGCTCAGCTTAACAAATCTATTTAAGCCCCTTCTGGCGCAGCTCCTGAGGACGCGGATCTGTGTGCAGTAATGCAGCTTCGTGCACGCATTTTATTACAAACTTCTATGCAGGGAGGGCGCCTGGGCCCATGCACACATTTGAATAGCACAGGCCATTCTGCCAGCCCACAGTCATGCTCTGGAGTGGGCAGGACTCCCGTACCCCCTTACCATGCTGAGTGTGAGCTGGGCGTGGAAAAATCGTGTCTTGTATTTTCTACATGACAAACCTCCATAAACTCACCTCCCATTCATCCCCTGCAAAGTGACTCCCCCCCCCAACCCTGCTACAGGGCTGTGATGGACTAATGGGGAGACGGATGCAGGGGAGGTCTCCAATGGCACCCTTCTTGGAGCCTCAGGAGGTATTCTGAGTTATTTTTCTGGTTTTTAAAAAGTTAAAAAAAATTTTTTTTTAATTTTATTCATTTTTGAGAGAGAGAGAGACAGAGCGTGAGTGGGGGAGGGGCAGAGAGAGAGGGAGACACAGAATCCGAAGCAGGCTCCAGGCTCCAAGCTGTCAGCACAGAGCCCGATGCGGGGCTGGAACTCACGGACCACAAGATCATAACCCGAGCTGGAGTTGGACGCTTAAGTGACTGAGCCACCGGCGCCCCTGGTTTTTAAAAAGTTTTAATTGTGGTAAAAGACACATAAAATTTGCCATTTTCATCATTTTTTTTAAAAGTAGGCCCCATGCCTGACATGGGGCTCGAACTCATGACTCTGAGACCAAGAGGTGCATGCTCTATTGACCGAGCCAGCCAGGTGCTCCATCATCTTAACCATTTTTAAGCATACTGTTCAGTGGCATTAAGTACATCCACTATGTTGTGCAATCATCACCAACACCCATCCCCAGAACTCTATTTTGCAAATCTGAAGCCCTGTACCTATTAAACAATTCCCCCTCTCCCCAGCTCCTGGCAATCATTCTGCTTTCTGTCTGCATGAGTCTGACTACTCTAAGTACCTCATACAAATGGACTGATACATTTGTCCTTTTGTGACAAGCTGCTTTCACTTAGCTAATGGCCTCTAGGTCCATCCATGTGGCAGCATGTGCTGGAATTTCCTTCCTTTTCAAGGCTGAGTAACATTCCACCGGAAGGATATGCCACATTTTGTTTATTCGTTCAGCCAAAGATGGTCACTTGGGTTGCTGACCCTGCACAGCCTTTGAGTCAGGCTCCTGTCCCGGATCTAAAGTGGTAGAACACATGCGAAGCGGGTGGACATGTTTTTAGTAGGGTGATGTCCTCAGTTACTGTCCATGCTCTATCCTTCTGGGATGAAAGATGTTGACCATACGGGGCCTGATATTTGTGGTTCGTTGATTTTATTAGCCTTGAAGTAGCTTCTGCTCTGTAGCAAATCCCCAGGGACTGACCTTTTCCAGGCCGGAGGCAGACAGCCCAAGAGGGAGAGAGTGGGCCCTCCCCTCCCCTGCCTCTGGTCCCTGACCGCCTTCTCCTTCTGGTTTAGAGTATTCATTCTTCCTGGGACGAGCTGCCATCTTGGGGACCCCTGTGGCTCTCTCATTCCTCCGAAACCCTGCAGTTCTTACAGTTAGAACCACATAATGAAAGAGCTGATTATATGCTGGACCGTGGCTGCTTAGTGGGCAGAAATCTTGCGGCTCCCCCCAGACTGCAATAACACCATTCATTCCCTTATGTGGGCTCAGCACTCGATGGCTCCTGAAACGTGCTTGTCTGTGTCATTCCATGTAATCCTGGGAGGGCTGGCCCATTTCAGAGATGGGCAAATGGAAGCTCTGGGGAAGTAGGTAGGACCTGAGAGCCCAGGACTGGCTGACACCAGCTCCTCTACCCCAAATCTACAGAGGGCAGGGGTACATAGTTGCTCATCCTGCACCTTTCCTCATGCCTAGAAAGTGCTGGGGAGACCTTCATACCTGGTTGAAAGTATTCACTGGATCAATGACACGAGGAAATGGCCTGGATGTGGCCACGTGGCCCTGTCTGGGGACAGCAGGGTGGGCCCCGAGGTGGCCATGGCCTCTGCCTACAGGGGCTTCCCAGGGTGCTCCTTGCTGAAATGAGCAGAGGCTCCAGAAGGACCAGCGAGGGAAGGGACAACAAGGCCCACGGAAACTTCCTGCCAATGCCAAGTTCTCTTTTGGTTTTGAGTAATTCCTGGGACGTAAAAGCCAAACCTCCAAACCATAAAATACAGCCAAGTTACTAATAAAAGGCAGCCAGAACGCTTTGATGTTTGCCCCTTCCATTCTGGAAGGACAGGCTAACAGTAAAAACATGACCTGGGGCAGAGCAATACTCCAGAATCATCTTGTGTTTGGTCAGTAAAGACAAAGAACCATAGTTCCAGGAAAACTCGGTTCTTCCCTGGATAGAGTCCGAGCCTTTTGGATAAATGCGGTTGGTCAATGCAGGGAGGAGAGGAGAGGTAAGAACAAGTGTTGTTCGCTGAGGGTGACGACGAAAGGTCAGACAGACCCAGCTCCTCATTCTGGCTCTAGCCATGTCCCATCACCTCTCTGAGCCTCAGTTTGCTCATCTGTAAAATGGAAATCACTAACATCCATGTCGGAAGGTCGTGCTACAAGACTTTAAGACTTCCATCATACACCAGCCCCTTGGTAACATTAAGTTAACCCTTTGTCTCTCAGTACTGTATCAAGTACAATAGGGTGGTGGTTCCCAGAGGTGGTTTTAGAGCCAGCAAGAGGACTCTTAAATAACAGCGGCTTGGCTAGTGAGGGAGTTTTCTCAGCTTCAAACGAGTGCCCCAGAGAATGAACACTTCTCTTTACATTTTATTTTTATCATGTTTAAAAACTGACTTATTCTGAGTGAGGGGAGAGAGAGAATCCCGAGCAGGCTCCACGCTGTCAGCAGGGAGCCTGATGTGGGCTCGAACTCAAGAACTGTGAGGTCAATGACCTGAGCCCAAATCAAGAGGCGGATGCTTAACCGACTGAGCCACTCAGGTGACCCTCTCTTTATATTTCAACAATTTTATTTTAGGGTGATAAGAACAGTCCCCACGAGATCTACCCTCATAGGAAATTTTAAGCGTACAATACAGTATTGTCGGCTGTAGATCTCTACAGCTTATTCATCTCGCTTGCCTGAAACTTTACGCCCGTAGGTTAGTAACTCTCCATTTTTCCGTCCCTCCAGCCCCTGGTTAGCACCATTTCGCTCTGTGATTCTATGAGTTTGACTATTTTAGATACCTCATGTAAGTGAAATGATGTAGTATCTTATCTTTTTGTGACTGGCTTATTTCACTTTAGCACAGGTTCATCCACACTGCCACACATTCAGAATATCCTTCTTTTTAAAGGTGGAATAGTAGTCTATTGTACGTATATATCACATTTAGGTTGTTTCCACGTCTTGGCTATCATGAAGGGTGCTGCAATGAACATGGGAGTGATTATATCTCTCCCAGATCCTGACTTCAATTTCTTTGGATGTATACCCAAAAGAAGTGCGATTGCTGGATCACATGGTAGTACTATTTTAAGTTTTTTGAGGAACCTCCATACTGTTTTTCATAGTGGATGCATTTTGCATTCCCACCAACAGTATGCAAGGGTTCCAACTGCTCCATATCCTTACCAACACTTGTTTTCTTGTTTTTTAATAATCCTGACAGATGCGA